GGAATGTGCTGTGTAGGATCTAGATTGGAAACCGTTTAAAGTTACACGGTGCACACATCATATTAGATAAGACTCAAACAATCGCAGCAAGGACCCATGAATTGTACAGTCAAGGAGTTATGATAAGAGAGTACTATAATCCACTCTATCAAACGCGTCGCTAAAATCGGTACATAGTGTCTACTTGAGTACCTCTATGGACAATTAGCTCAGTCCGTGATATAATTAACTAGGTTACTAGGCGTAGACTTATCTTTACATTGACCGTGATGTCTCACATCATTTTAATTGAATAATTCATCAGATCCAGATAGACTACCTGTTCGAAAACTTTGGAAAATTGATTTAATATTGAAACTGAACGGTAGTTAGCTACTTCAATTTTATTCAATTTTATGGATTGGTATGATGCTGTGTGCATGCTATATTTGCCTATTATTGGGTTTACATACGAGTAACTTCGGCGGTGTTATATTGTGTCCATGTATAATAGTATATTTCTGTTGGCGAAACTAATAAATATTAGAATCCTTCAACATTTCGGGAACATCACACGGTTTCACAAATATAGTTTTTAGATGTAATGTTAGACGTTTACTAGCCTTTTTGTGGTCTGTCGTATTGTGGTCTGATCTTATGGTTCTAATAATTTTAATTTTGAACGGCTGTAAAGTACAGACAAGTACATAATATATGTATTAATGTGGTAACGGCTCCATGCAAAATGAAAGAATATTTTGATGCAGCAAACAATATTAATGATTGTCACATTAGTGTCTCTGCCTAACCCAATCGGGGCGAAAAGAGTGGCTTTATTATTTAAACGTTTCATATGAGCACGTATTCTGATGCAGCACGTTTTGCAGCTGTAGGTATGACGCTCTTCTTCTGTCACCAATATGACATGAATATTTATAATACCGTTTCACGTATCCTAGTGAACATATTTACTTTGTAGTATGTTACGTAACGTTTTACCATTATAGTTGTGACATTCGTACTAAAGGGGCAATACATCGAAACCATTCTTCAAACCATTAGTAACATCGCCATCGATAAATCACAATGTTCATAACACTGCCTTTTGATAAATCCACAAGAAAATATTCGTGATTCGGCTTATTGAATTTACATTAAATAGAAAAAAGGTCACAGTCATTATAAGAAGAAAATATGTATAAATAGATTTAATTTCATGATTGCCTTTATTCAGGAAAGTATACTTACCCAGTTCTCCTTGTTTAGCTTTCAATCGATCTACACCATCTCTGAAAGCTTTTCAGAGCGAAAATTATGGTCTCCACTTAATGGTACTTGTATTTATGGCTGCGGACTCTTTCGCTCCCTATTTAGTTTAAATGTAGAATATGAAACGCAGTAGAATAGAAGGGAAATATGCAATCAAAACTATAAAAAATCTATAATTTCTTTTTAATTTAGTTATTGCACGGTAATGTAAATTCATAAAATTAGACAAAACCTAACACTCATGACTTTAAGAATACAATGAAAGGACCTACAACACCAGTGAAGTTTTAACGATTTTGTTAGAAATTACTCTAAACTCTATTAGTAAATTTCATTTAAGCGACGTTTCTCAATATTACAATCACTTAAAACTCTTTTACATGAAAGAAAAAAAAATTTAGTAGCATTATTGCTGCTTGTGAAAGAGTTCGTCCAGGGTAATACTGCCACCTTAACTATTTCTGCCGCCAAGCAGTAATGTCAGCGTTACTGTGTTCCGGTTTTGAAGGGTAATGGTGCTGGTGAAATTAAAGGCACATGGGACTTGTCAACTTATATCTCAGGGTGACGGGCGCAGTGGCAGTGCCCCTCAGATCTTTGCAATTTAAAGCTCTGAGTGGCACTGTAATTGTTATGGATAGGCGTGTAGCTTACCATCAGGCGCATGGCTCCAAATGAATTTTTATTTATAGTTTCGTCACGAACATCCAAAAAACTTTCAAAAGGGATTTTTATCGAAAAATATGGAAAATATTACTTATCTGTGTAGTCTTTCTGTACAATAAATTCTATAGATTGAAGTGATATTTAATCGTATTTTATGCTAATGAGAGTACCTAATGTCGAGTAATAATAACATAACCCACACTCAACATAACCCCGCCTAGGGAAACCCTGAGTCGCAGGTGCCATGGACACACACATAGACCACCACAAATTACATCTAAACTTACGAGAGAAATAAATGTAGGCCATATAAATATTTCTCCCGGTTCGGGAATCGAACCTGGGACCTCTGCGTGGCAGTGCGACAAGGTAACCGTTCGGCCACGAAGGCAGTTGAAAGTAAGTGCGACACGAGGCTTTGTCGAGTACGCGATTTTGAGACCTAATTATGTAATAATTGCATACAACACAAAATATTGAAACACAACACATTTAACCAATCAGGTGGCAGCAGAGCGTTTGAATAGGGTCATATTTGATATTTTATTTATTTTTCAGTTCAGTAGCGAGTACCATAGACAATAGAATTTTGGTTCAGAACTAAAAAGAGCGTCTTTGTGATATGATTCATGAAATTATAATTGATAGATTCAAGTACAGGAGTAAAAAAATTTAATAAAGAGCACTACAATCATCTGTAGGTACAAGTATGTATCTGTGCTATGTTTCGTCTTTTCCTAATGAACATGACCAGAAAAATAAATGTAGGTATACTTACATATGAAAAATAAATCTATAAATGTTGTACATATGAAATACTTTAAATATTTTTTATTTATTTTGTACTGTCAATGTCGATAATTAATTATGTTTGAAATATTCGTATACCAAATGGTGCATAATAGAGAAACTTTTAAAAATTGTATAACATCAAAACTGTGCCAATATTATTATGTACCACGCCAGCACATCAAGCTACACATTGACGTATCTTGTTCCGTTGCACTAGAGGCGATTTTCGAACAAAAATGTGTAGTCAGGGGGTCTACTCCCGATCTCCGTCCGACATCCGTCCGAAACAATTACTGCCAAATAAGCAATACTTGACCAAATGAAAAGACGCGTGATGCGAATGAAGCTTCATACTGGATACTTGTCTTTTTATTTTGTCGAATATTACTTATTTGACAGTAATTGTTTCGGACGGAGATCGAGAGTAGACCCCTGATGTGCCATTGTCTATATGTATAAATAAAAAATATTTATATATAATATACTATTCTTATCTCTATTTTAGACTCTAATTGTTTTTAAAATTATGATTTCTACTTAAGGTAGGTAATTTATGATCTTGAACTTTTGCGATTACTATTTAGATTAATCGTCAAATATTAATTTATAACAATTAAAAATTAATTTCAAATAGAAGCTAATTGTTTATTCGTTGTACCTTCTTAATTCATATAGACATACAGTAAACACGGTATTACTTATATATATATAATATACCACACAACCACACCAATTATCTGGTCCCAAATTAGGGAATTCCTTGTACTATAAGAACCAATGCAACGTAATTCACTACGAGGCATCACTTGGAGCACTCAGACCAGAACTAATTTAGTGAAGTTCATTTCCCAAATTGATTTTACTGGGAATCGAATACGGGATACACTCATCCAGCGCTGTAGGTGCAAGTGTTTGTAGTGTGCAGTGTTTGGTTTGAAGAGAAAACAACGTAAACGTAATACAATGACTAGCAAGATTTAAATGTGTGTTCTCTCCAGGAGATGCTTTAACAATGCCACTTTCAACCACAAGGTCAAACATAAGCGATGTCCCTTGTTCCTCTAATCTATTGGAATTTCCCTCCACCACGACGTAAGATAAATATCTGCGTAATAGCGAGTATAAATTAACAGGTATATAACTTATTTTACCACAATTTCTTTCATCCCTTGCAAAAGGTGTCTTTACAAAAAATCTACTCGAATTTTTAAGTTTTGATATATAGTTCCAAATAATGACAGTTATAAAGTATAATTTTGTTAATCAAAACAGTGAAAACAACTTGACTGAAATATTTTTTTATAGTTTCAAGCAATGGGTCTTCATAAAGTATCCTCCTAATGTTACTTGTTATTATTATTATTGCTGATTCTAATTTCCTGAAAAGAGAAATTAATATTTTATACGAAAGAAAAATATTCTTAACATTGAGATTTACATACATATGTACAAATTTTATTTATAAAATATAGTTACATATACAGAGATTTAACGTTCTATCAAGGAGTAGTGCGTTTTAGGTGTAGGTTTCTCAGCAAAGGTCAGTTACAACGAATTCACGTATAAATTGAATTGTTGCTTAAAATAAATTATTATAATTTTTTTATAAAAAAAACCGACTTCATAAGTTTATGGAATTACATATATTTCCCAAATTTTATTAAAATCTGTTAACGGAAAGTGGGTAAAAACCAATAAATCGTATTCATCACCTAATTTGCCGTCCTTAGAGGTGGAATATTTTCTTCAAATTTGAATGAGACCGCTACCAAGGTACCCCTTTTCCAATAAAAAAAGAATCATCGAAATCGGCTCACAAGTGTGGGAGGGTAACCTGTCACAAACTCGAATTTATTTTTTCCGAAATAACGTTTGTTCGAATGTTTATTACACGGAAAACCGAATTATAACGAAACCGTTGTTCTTTCAGGTAGTGTTGGATGTTTATCGCAAAGACGTGATTAGGTTCGGTTAGGTTAAGTTAGGTTAAAAAGAAAAAACATTTTATTCTCAAAATTACTTTCGAGATTATGAAAATTAGAGCAAACGTTATTTCTGAAAAATGTCATTTCGGACTTCTGATAGGTGACCGTGTTGGAGTAATCGCGTAATATACACAAAAAAATACAGTCGAATTGAGAGCCTCCTCCTTTTTTGAAATCGGCTAAAAGTTAACGCTCAGATACATAATGGCATTACGGATGCAAGTTATTGTCCAGAGGTTTCCATCATTGTCCGTTTTTGCACATCTGGTACATTTTGTAGGCTAAAGTAACCTTAAATGTTTGTTGCAGGTGTATCCCTAGTGTTCATGATAGTAGTCCTCCCGAGGCTGCTGCCATGGGGTGGAGGAGCGTCGTTCCTCTCCATGTGCCACCTCCTTGGAGCGCTGGCCCCTTGGCTAGGCTCCTTCCTCTACCATCTCTTCATGAACCATGCGCACGGCGCTAGTCTCTACCATCGGCTGCTACAGCTCGATATGCTGGGAATTTGGGTTAGTCAGAGTATAGGTAAGTTTTATTTTTAGCACAATTATTTATCTCTATAACGAAATTATGGCGAACAGGACTCATTTGCTATATTCTTAACTTCTACCAATGACCTTATGTACTAGAGTGAGCAGCAGGACGTTACAATAAACATATATTCGGAGAGTGTGTGACACGATTTAATAATTATTTAGGTGTGCACGATCCATCGTCGACCTCATTATCACTTTCCATCAGGTGAATATTGGTAACAGCAGTACCATATCGTAGAATTTTCTTAATGCAAGGACTTTAAACATCTGATCTTGATCGAGCTTGACTCAGACATTCAGACTCTCAGAGGTATGCTGGTGACGCTAAATGTAGAGTAACAGACTGACGAGAAAAACACTGAACTATTTTTATTTTATAACTTTTATACGTTCTTCCAACAAGTTAAGATCAACTCATTAAAACAGTTCTTCAGTAAATTTCATTTACGCGACGTTTCTCAACATTACAATCACTTAAAACTCTTTTACATGAAAGAAAAAAGTTAATATAAATTTAGTAGCATTAGAGCTCCTTGTGAAAGAGTTCGTCCAGGGAAGTACTGCCACCTTACCTATTACTGCCGCCACGCAGTAATGTGAGCATTGTTACGTTCCAGTTTAGATGCGTAAGGGTGCTGGTGAAATAACAGGCACGTGGGACTTGTCAACTTATGTCTCAGGGTGACTGGCGCAGTGGCAGTGCCCCTAAGATCTTTGCGATTTAAAGCTCTGAGTGCCACTACAACTGTTCTCGACAGGCGTGTCGAGCACACAGCACGAGAAACCATTTTGACCCTTCAGGAACTGCAGTTAGAAACCATTCGTCATCCTCCGTATTCACCAGACCTTGCTCCAACGGACTACCATTTTTTTCGTGATTTGGACAATTATCTACGTGACAAGAAGTTTTCTTCCCAGGAGGCAGTACAAAATGCTTTCACACAGTTTGTGCAGTCTAGATCGTCGGAGTTCTATCGCAAAGGCATTAATAACCTTCCCATTAGATGGCAGCAATGTTAGATAATAATGGCAACTATTTTGATTAAATAAATTTGTTAAAAATTTAAAAAATAAACAATTTAGATTTTCAGTACAAATCGGCAATTTCATACTTTAACCCCTATTATTTGGCGCGGTGCTAAACAGCATACAACTTGTCGACCCATTGCTACGTGTAGTTTCCTATTTTAAATAAAGAGATTAACATTCTTACACGAACATCACAGTACATTTATGAAAATATTATTTATGTTAAGAAAAATATAAATTTTTTTATGCAAAATAGTGACAGATATATCATTAATACGAGGAATAAAAATAAACTTGCTGTTTTTGACAGTCGTCTTCATAAAGTCTAAAATTCATTTTCGCCAGGTTGTCGCCATTTTCTCTGGAATTATTTATGTAATTATTAAAACTAGGAATAGATTTTTTTTAATCCTTGGTTATAGAGGGTTCCACAAATGCCAACCTCATAGTGGCTCTCTTAATCTACACGTTTCTTAACCTAATTGTCTCCTTAACTACTTTATATAGCAGCTCAGCCTCTTCGGAGGTCGGAAATCATCAAGAAACCAAGAAGATGATATATGATATAGATTTTGTCACAAATTCATTTAAGGGGCAATTAATACGCTTCTATAATAAGATTCCGATTGACATTCAAAATTTGCCATTAGGCTTAAAACTATTGTGAAACAAACACTATACTAAAGGTATAATAAAGCTTCTGCGTACTAGGATGACAAAAATCCGTAATAGTGATCCGTTAAGCTCTTTCAAGTAATCTCGATCTAAGATGTTTAAATTAAACATTGTAATGATAAATGTATTTAAATGTATATTTACAAAGAGCAACCCCTGGAGTTTCTTCCTCATTCTTCTCAAGGGAATCTGCCTTACGAATGAGCGTAGAGTTTAATCAGTATTACAATTTCAAGTGTTATTTGCTTACCTATTAAATAAACATTATTTGACTTTGATTATAATGTTTATTTAATAGGTAAGCAAATAACACTTGACTTGACTTTGACTTTGAAACACGTTATTGCTAAACCAGTCACGATGTACTACAATAGGACACATAACTAAGCTTTTACTTTACGAATCAATAAAAAAGCTACATTATTATGTAACCATATAGTACGAAGTAACTTTTAATTTTAAATGCAAATTGTAAATGCTGTTTAGATTTAAAAATGTCTTCTTTTATCCTGCTCTGGTGAATGCAGCATTTCTAGAAAAACGCGAGAAACATATTTTTAGATATCTAAGGAATAAGTTTATGTTAATAAATATATTGCTTAGATATATTTATGTTAATAAATTTGTTGCTTAAATATCTAAAAAAGTGTTTATCGCGTTTTTACTCGGACTCTCTATTTGGAAATGCTGCATTTAGCAGAGCAGGATAAAAGAAGATGTTTTTAAAGCTACAAATAAAAACTTCTCTGTCGAATTATTTCGTTTAAAACAACCTTCTGAACAGATTAATCCTAAACCTCCTACGCTGTTTTTACGAAATAACTAAAGTGAAAGGTCACTCGTCGGCAGTATTCAACAGCCGATTTTTCGCTTTTTTTTTAAGCATGTCATGTCACCCTCGGCCTCGGGGATTCATAATAATGCGATTAAGCCCTAGCGTTCCCTCTTTACTGAATATTTATAAAATTTCCAAAACCGCCCTCCGTATATTTACGTCAGTCTGCATTTGTAATGCGGGTAGAGTAGTAAGTGTGATGCAAGCGTATGATTAAAATCATGAATAAGTTATGGTCACTTAAGAAGTCACAGATAAATGTTTGCCGTCTCTTGCCGAAAATACAAACCAAAATTCATTATAGATTCCTACGTTTGAACAAGCTGAACAAGTACATCCTTTAGAAGAAGTATTCCGAATAAAACTACCTAATGTCAATAATATTCGAATAAACTGCATTCAATATATATTTCCAAAGAGGAATAACGATCAGATGTATTATAAACATAGCGTTAATTTTTTTCTGAATCCCAAAAGTTCGCCGAGGAATGGCCGTGCCTACCATCTGACAGTAAATTGAAAATTTTATTATACACATTTCAATAGAGCCCAATGGAAACTCCAATTCGATCCTTTATTTCAATAATAATATTTCGGAGTTACTAAAACTATGTATTTCACAAAATCCCTCACTTTAGCATTAGCATAACAAAAGAAGAGGTGGGTGCGTATTCTTCAAATCTTGTCAACGTAGGCTTTTGATAAACAATGTTACACTTTATCACATGCCTAAGGCCACACCTGAGTCATATAAGTACGCTTTGTAAGATTCCGGGAAATAGAAATTTATTTTTAAGGTGTACTTCTCATTGCCGTCAAGATGATGTTACATGTTATATCTCGGTTGATCCCTTGAGAAATTTTTGACTTCAGACAGGAAGATGGGTATGAACCTGTTAATGAAAAATGACCAGTTTTTTATTGCTCTACCTTTGTTTTGGGAAAATCCTTTATTTTGTCAAAATGTTTCAGGGATATTAATTAAAGAGCCGCGGTACTGTAAGCGCTCAAACGCTATTAGTCTTTGTTATTCTGTGGAATAGACAATGCGATTCATTCATGACGAAGATAGTAGGCTTACGAGAATAAACCCCCCAAAACTTTACAAGCCCTACCAAATAGGTTTTTACCCCACGTTGTTTATTAATTATTTAGTTGAGATTGACTGTGAAATTTTTAATTAAATTACACAATGTCGGTAAGATTTAGCAAATTAATCGAAGCACTAATGTATTTACTACCACAATGCCTTAATTATTGCTCCCGTATAGGTCGTTCATAAAAATTTTGATAATACATATAAGCAACAATTAATAATGGAGACGATCTTAAGTACGATGGTAAGGTTCCAAGTTCCAGTACCGCACCTCAAGGGCATTTCAAGTTGATCTCGGGACTTGAGGCTGAGCGAATGTGGGCGGAATTAGACGCCGCCATAATTGAACAACCGCCCATTACTCTTCATTGTTTATTGTACTAAACGAAATCATTAGTAGGGTACACCGACTAATGGTTTCGTCTTGTATGACTGTTCGGCTTGAGCAGTATTTTCGAACTGAAATTTACCAAACAATGAAATATATTTTTTAAATGTTTAGTCATATATGTGTATATAATTATATGTGCCAGACAACTACACCAATTGTCTGATCTCGAGCTAGAGAACCCTGTACTACTCATAGTGCTGGTACTCATACCAGTGCTACGGAATGCTACTAGGGCACTTCCCAGTTATGGCAATTATTATAATATTATAAAATCGGAAATAATAATCGCAGTTGTAATATAAAAACAAGTCTGTACCTACTTAGAAGATAGTAAATTTGAAATTTCACGAATTTTAATACAAAAAATAATAATTTTGATTGTTTTGGTAATAAAACTTTTTTTTTCTCATTATTAGTGGATGCTGATAAGCAATAACGTGTCAACTAACATGATCAATATTTTGCAAAAATGGCTACTAAAGATTTGTTCATTGTTTTTAATAGATTGTTCTAAAATTTATTGGTAAAATGAAAACTTTTGCAATTGCCACCTTAGGAATGATGAGTTGTTGTGATTTATTATTATAATTCCCCAACAACATATCACAACAGCAAAAGTTTTCATTTTATATAAAAATTTTAGAACAAACTATCAAAAACAACGAAAAGGTCTTTAGGTGCCATTTTAGTTGACACGGTATTGCTTATCTGCATTCAGTTTACATTGAGATACAAAATGAACACAACTATACACAAGTGACTTTTTATCTATGGTTCACGTAAAAAATATTATTTGGTTGTGGCACAGTTGTGGTTCGGAATTTTTTTTTATAAATTTTTCACGAGTCGTTAAATGATCCGGATCTGTAATTGTTTCTACACCTCATAAGTTCAGAAAAATAAATATTACAAAAAAATATTTATCTCTTCCTACATATCCTAATTTAACAACGAGAAAAACCT